CTGATGCAATAAAAGAAGTCGTACAAAGTCAGTAAAACAGAATCTTCCAAAGACAACAAAGAAGTATTTCAAACGCTTTATCCCCTTATTCCCATTCAGTGGTAGCTGGCGGTGTAGAGGTAAGGTCAAGCAAAACTCGAGAAATGCCCGGAAACTGGCAAATCTTTTCAGCCGTCTCCTTGAGAAACTGCAAGTGAAAAGAAAAAAGTTTTAAAATCGTTTTCAGTCAGCCACCACTTTCTCTGCGTACCTGGAAAGGAATCGGCTGGTTGGGAATGGCAGGCCCACCGGCGGTAAAGCGGTCATCATCAGTGGCGATGAAGGTGCTGATGACCACCGAGTGTCGGCAGGACGGGTTACGGGAGATGAGGGCCGGCTCGCGGTCAAAGTGAATCGGAATGAGAATGAGGTACATCGCAGAGAGCACCGACTAGTAGCCGGCGGCCTTCTTTAGCTCCTCAGTGGCAATGTCGTCCGCCTTTCGCAGCAGCTCGACCACCTTGGGCGTCAGTGTGGTGGGTGTGATGTCCTCCACTGGGCACTTCACCGAACTGCCGAAGATGTAGCAAACGCGGCTTACATTGGGGCAGACGGTGGGGATCAGCTTAGCCAGACGGGCCAATGCCTCAAACTTGGCCGTGATTGTCTGCTTTGGCGGTTGATTCTCAGAATTTTCAGAGAAGCCAACGACGTAGCCGACGTGGAAGTTGCCCTGGACACTTTTGATTGGCAGCAGCATTGGGGTGAACTTGTAGGTGGCGGAAAAGGTTTCCAGAAAGGCGAGGTTCTTTGTGCTGGCCCGGGCATTCACAACTGCAGACAGCACCGAGTGTTTCTGCGGTGGACAAAAACAAAGTAAATTACTGAGCAAACTAAAACACTCTTTTTACCTCTTTTTTCAAAATCGTGTAGTTGAGAACCATCTTGAGCAAAGAGGCGGTGAAAAAGAAGTCCTCTTTTTTGTATGGCTGTTCGGCGCAGATGATGCGCACCGCCAGGCCAGACACGGGAAAAGGATGAAGATTGAAGAACTGAAGGGGCACATCAAGGTAACGACCCAGCAAGAGCATTTTGTTTTTGTAAAAATCCTTCAGCGGTTCGACAAATGGGAGGCCACAGTTGGGGAGCAGATTCTTCACCAGCTTTAACTCATATTGGCGGTGCGCTTTGGCGGCGTCTTTTCTTGTATTGTTTTCAACCAGGTCCAGTGTTTCAATGGTGCAGCCCGTACTGAAAAGAATCTTCCGCCCGTGGTTCAGTTTTATGTACTCGTAGACGATGTTGTTGAGGATGCGAACAAAAGTGTCAGCGATGATGTGGCATTTCTCCTCCGGTGCCACCGTCTGGCAGAGCATCTTTGTGAGCACCTTTTTGTTTGGATCTTCCTTTGAGAGGGAAATTGCCGTGGTGGCGTTGCTGAACTGCAGCTATGCTTTAATGGCTACAGAAAAAATGTGGTAAGGAAGGTCAAATTGAAATTCTTTAACCGTTACACTACATTGACATACTTTTCATGTCGAGACCGACGCTTTTCAGTGCCTTCTCCACCTGAACACCCTCATTCTTGCGCATGAAACCACTGTCAATGTACAGGGCAGTCACCTGGTCGGTGCTTTTCAGTGCTTTCACCAGAAGAGTGGCACTGACCACTGAGTTGACGCCGCCGTTTACTAGCACCTAAAACGATTGAATGAGCATTAGAATCAAAAAGGGAAGAGAGAGAGAGAGGCCCGAGAGAGAGGCCACGTTGAATAGAAAGTTTTTCAGCATTTTTTTCCNGACACTCAACTCACCAGAACTTTGCACAGGCCCACCAACTTTTGAATGCGGTCAATGCTCTTGTTCACTCGAAACTTCAGGGTGAAGTTGCCCGAGAGAGAGGCCACGTTGAATAGAAAGTTTTTCAGCATTTTTTTCCTTTTGAAGAGAGGTCATTCTCTGGGTAGAACTGTACACCGTACAGTTTCTTCTCCACATTTGCAATAGCTGTATAAACAACCACAAATGATCAGTTACTGGCAAAAGAAAAGAAACAAAAACACTTACCGAAAATGACGTTTTCTGATTTTCCTACAACTTTAAAGCCGTCGGCTACCTTTGAGACGGAAACGCCAGTAACCTGTAGAACTTTCTGTTGTGAATCCAAATTGCTGAAATGTAAAAAGATAAAAAATGCAAAAATAGTGTCAACCAGTGGCTCACTTAAAGAGAGGATTTTGACTGTCCACAGTTATGGTCAACTGGGCAGAGTCATTGTGTTCTTTTTTGCATTCCCTTACCGAGCCGCCAAAATCATTGTTTATCATTTGAAATCCGTAGCCAATGCCCAAAACGGGAATACCAGTTGTAAAGATATTCTTGTCGTACGGCAGAGCATCCTCGGCGTACACTGAACCTGGGCCGCCAGCGATAATGATTGCCCTAAAATAAAAGGTGGCTAGTTAGATGAAATGACCTAATAGTAAACAAAAGGCATTGGCCACTCACTTGTACTGTTCTTTGAGCAGCTCTTTAGCTGAAGTGTTCAACGGCAAAATCTGCGTTTCGACCACGCATTTTTTTGGTCAATGAGTTTGGGAGAGTGCTGGGCACCACAGCTGAGAATGGCCACTTTCTCCGAGTTTAGCAAATCAATAGCAGGCATGTCATTACTACTGTAGTCACCGCAGTCGTTGTTTGGAGAATCAAGGTCGCCGTTTGGTGTTGACATCTTCTTAGCTCAATTGGATGGTAAACGGAGTTTACCTATGATGCGAAAGAAAGTTAAATAGGGGGTAAGTCTGGCAAGCCAGGACTACAGCGAGCCTTTTTTTGCGTGCACTTCTGGGACTTTGCGGATTTTAATTGTGCATCAATAAGAACTTGCAATTACTGTCGAGGGAAACTGACAGGGGTCAAGTCACATCAAACCTAGCCACGTTTAGCCGTGCAACGCTAGGACTTAAAAACTACTTTATCGCCAATCTCTGATGTGACTTGACCACTGTTCCACTGACCACTCTTCGGGCCCTGCTCGCTTCGCTCGCAGGACCCTCGTCGACGGAAGTTGACAGTGGTCAAGCCACGTCAGACCTCGCGGTATTTAGCCGTACACTGCTAGTTTACATCAATCACTTTACCGGCGGCTCATCCGACATCGCTTGTACACTATAAACTTCCGCCGCCTCAGGCTCCGCTTGTTTCGCTCGCGAGCCCCGAGGCAGCGAAAGTTTACAGTGGTCAAGTAGTGCCAGACCTCGCCGCCTTGTGCTGTGCACCGCTAGGTTTTCGCAATTACTCTACTGCCGACGAAAGTTGACAGAGGTTAAGTCACGTTAAACCTAGCCGCGTGCAATGCTAGGATTTTTAAACTACTTTATCGCAAATCTCTGATGTAACTTGACCACTGTTAACTTCCGTCTTCTCGGGCCCTGCTCGCTTCTTTCGCGAGGCCCGAGGCAGCGGAAGTTTACAGTGGTCAAGAGGTGCCAGACCTCGCCGCTTTGTGCCGTGCACTACTGAGGAATGCATGTGCAGTCACTGTTTTGGGCAAACACATTAGCTGCAAACATAGTGAAGTGAACGATAGCTCTCCCAAGGGACTGAAAACAGTTTTCATTTGATAACAACGGCAGGCTGTTTCTCGCTCTGTCCTTGGTAATGCATTATTTTTGGGTTCTTGGATCTCGGTCCCTGTTGGTCGTACAACTCTAATTCTTTCACCTGAAT